GTAGATCAAACGTTATCCACCCACTGAACTGGCTGCATCACCAGGAAGTCAAACCTGACATCTCACTCTGGCACAGTGACATTCAGTGATAATTTATCTGTCACCCTCCGAGGTGCTTTCACATGCTGACTGCCTCTACTAATGGATCCATCCATTAACTCAGCATTAAGTATTCCCCAGAAATCTTCATAGATTGGAACTTTCGTTTCAGACGGGTTCAGTGCTACCCTTCTCTCTGCTGTTGCATTACATGAACTTGTGACACCTGTTATTACAGAATGATGAGACGAACCTGCCTTGAACCTTTCTTTGTTCTTAGCATCTCTTGCTGTTAAACACTGTGGCTAGGACTATAAAAGGCCTTGTGATAACAGGGTGTGCTTTCTGTAAAGTTCCATGACCTTCCCTTGTGACTGCAAGTTTTCTTTAGTTTTGTTTCCTACAGGCATCTTGCGTAATTTATTTTATCCTGAAATAGTTTGAAATGTGTCAGGAAACACCACCTGGAGAAAAGGAGATTAGCAGAGCTGTTTATATTCCTGGCATATTGTGGTTGCCCCAAATAATATTGAACTATTATCCTCTCCGTTTTTATTTTAACATCCTTAATTGCTTAATAAGTCATCGAGAAAACAGAGATACGGTATCCATATCCTACACCACAGAGGTAATTTAAACACGGCAAATATAGTGCTATGCACTATAAATTGATACTCAAAGAGCTTTCATTACCTTTTCTTGATCAATTAAATTTGAAACTTCACTGTCTCCGTTGGTTAAAATACAACATTTCACTGTGTCTGATAACAGTTTTGAATATGAATCTGGCCTTGAATTGCCATATAAATGCATTTTGTTAGGAAAACAAAGCATTAAGGGTAAGTATCCTCAGTCACAGTATGTAATGATACTGTAAATTCCCAGGTAGAAAACCAGCTTGGATTGTACCGAATTAGGAAGTTGCTGATTCATTTCTTAGTCTTTGAAATTATAATAGTGGTTGACAACCATAGCGGCAAAGAGAGATTAATGAAAGATGCATAAGTATAATGTATGTGTTCATACTCCATAAAATTATTTATTTCACTTGGGTAGACAAACATTTAGAACATTATTAAATTCCAGACAATAATGGTCAATATTATAGTTCTTTATTATTTAAATAATTAGTAACAGGTCTTAGATAAATGTTAGAAAAAGTCAATATAAAAGAACATTCTTTTATGAGGCAAAGAATAAATAAAATCCAATTGTGAAATGTTTTTGACATTAAGCCATTATGATTTATTAAAATGCATGTATATTTGGCTCTTGTATGCATATTAAAATAAATCATTTAATTATTTTATTTGGTATTTTATTTTAAGTTAATATAACTTCTTTTCCAAATAGGTAGCTTTAAATGCAAAGGTATTTCACTATTATTGATGCATTTATCTTTTCTTTCTACAGTGCACATTTTCATCCTTTCCACTCCTTTTGTGTTCCAAAGGCTAATTTCCAGGCTTTAAATTATATACAATTTAATACTGCTGACTAACGGGTTCTGGAGCTAATACATGCATAATTTTAAAATTTGAATCAAGTCAGTATTCTTGCACATAATTATTATAACTAGTAATTTCCTATGAATCCTATGCTAATAAAGATAAATACATTGTATAAATTGAAATTTGTAAGTGAGATCAAATTAATGATAACTGCAATGGGCTTTTCTCCCTCTTTTAATAAAATAATCAAATGCCTGTTTTATTTTTTAATGAAGTATTCTGTGACACTGAATTTTTACTCATTTTGGTGTGTCTCGGTTTTACTTTGTTTTGTTTTTATCAGGTTGTCCGGACAACAGCTTTGGATCCAAATGTAAAAATCCCCTTGGTGGATTTCAGGGATGCATGAGACGCATTTCTATCAGCAACAAAGTGGTAGATCTGATTTCAGTACAGCAGGGGACCCTGGGGAACTTCAGTGACCTTCAGATAGACTCCTGTGGAATCACAGACAGGTCAGACCATCTCACTCCTATTCTTATCTGTCCATTGTCAAATGTTTGGTGGCAGATTAAAATTTATATAGAAAACAAACATTTTGTTCTTTCCTCTTTTTCACCATCATCTTTTCCATGGGAAATAGGTTATTGTGTTCACTTTAGAAATAAGAAAAAAAATAAACTTTTAGTTTTATACTTAATATTTGCAATGAAAAAATTTAGAAAACATGTGACCATGTTGTTTACAAGGATACATGCTCCCAGTTCACAAAAGATAATGTTGATGCTGCTATAATTTTAGGTGGCTACAAATGCATAAAAATATATCATTAAACTCAATAGCTCAGGACACACTAACAATTATTTTGATCGTCTGGTACCAAGAAATCAGAGACCTGTTTGGTTAGTTATCAACCTGCCTCTTGCTCCCTGATAGCTGAGGAGTGTTTTCACAGGCACAGAAATGGAAGTGGTTGCTATGCTCCTCATGTATCTTCAAAAACCATTACTATCTTCTCTGCAGAGAATCTGAGAAGGAACCCGCCCCATGGGAGAGTCTGGAGCTGTAGTGTAGATCAAGGTGTAAGGCTCACCCAGGAGTTTCAGTAGGACTCCAGTACAGGGCATGGTGGTGCAAGATTTCGGAGTTAATTGCAGAGGACAAGCAACTTTTGAATGATGACTGATAGTTAATAATTTTAAAGTATCTTTAGGCATGTTCAACCTTACCCAAAGAATCTTTTCAGTCATGCTTTAGTAGTAAGGCTGCTAACTTTAGTTATGGAGTTCAATGGAATGTCATGACCATTGCAGACTTAAAAGAATTAAGCCATGTGAGAAACTTAGTCCCTATCCTATAGTAGGGTGTAGTATAAATTTTGAGTAAATTCTGAATTTTAAAAGTAACTTTTTATTTGTATGAAACATTTTATCAACACAAACACTTATCTATTTCTATCTGAGAGACCATTTAGTCTATCAGTGTCTATTGGTCCTGTTTTGAACACTATACATATTGTTATGTCTATAAAAATAATTTTAACCTTATTTAACAATGCATTAGAAGGGTACCATTTCTTTCCATGAATACATGTTTAGTTATTTAACCCAGTTTGTAGATTTTAAAAAAAAGTCTTTCTATAATGAAAGGTGATTTGTAAAGGGAGAATTTACACAATGAACCTCAATGGCTTGACTTGGGGCTTAAATGACAGTGAGCTTTTGCATAGTCACAACCACATCAGCTCTGGACCCTGAATCCCAGTTTTGAGGAGGGCGTACAGCAAGGCTCCCTGGATCTGCTCCCTGGAGGTGGGGCTCACACACAGTCAGGGAGCCCCCACCTCTAATGGGTAACAGCCATCAGGGACCAGGGGGAGGTTTGGTCGCTCACCCATGAAGGATAGTCCTGTTGACTGGCTCAGACTGCAGACAGTTGTGTGGGTACAAGGAGATCCATGCTTCTCCTGGGTGGTGGCTCCGGACCTGCCATTTACACCTGAACCCCAGCTGCCTGCTTTCTGGAGGTCAGACTCAGAAACAGAGTACAGTTGGAGAATATATGCTTCCAATATCACACCCTAAAAGGGCTTCAGAAATAGCAAACTATGCAGAGGTCTTGACTACGCTTTTTTTTTTTTTAAAGAAATACTTTAGGGTCAGGGGAACCCTAGCAATCTTAGAAAAATAGCAAAAGTAAAAGTAACTTTTACATTTGTATACCTTTTAAATTCCCAAATGTATCATTCTCTTATACTCATAAGAAATATAGATATAACCATCCTTTAGTATCCATGGGAGGATTGGTTCCATTACCTCTGCAGGTACATAATCTGCGGATACTCGAGTTCCTTATATACAATGGCATGGTGTTTGTATATAACCTATGCGATTCTCCCCTATGCTTTAAATCATCTCTGCATTACTTAGAATAGCTAATACTATATAAATGCTATGTAAAATAGCTGGCATATTGTATAATTTAGGGTATGATGACAAGAAAGAAAGTCTGTACATGGTCAATACAGATGCAACCATCGTAGGCCTAACTACCTACCTGGTACATGTCAGCAGCAAAGCAACTCCTCCCCCCCCCCGAATATTTTCCATCCCTGTTGGTTGAATCCACAGAACTGTTAGATACAGAGGGCTGATTCTAGTAATTTATTTTGGTCTTACATGCTATACCTATTGACATAGCTTCCAAAGCATTATTAAGTAGAGTCTTTTAAAAATAAATCTGTATACTAGCTCTATGCTAAGCACTTAGCATGAATTACTATTTATTTATTTATTATTTTAGAAGTTTTATTGAAATAGGAAAGGGAGAAACTGGAAAGGAATACGGAAGAAAGAAAGGTAATTTGGCAAAGTGTCAGAAATATTTTCCAGAATCTTTCAAATAGGCATCTAGATTCTAAGTCTTTAACTATCTCTGAGGAGCAGTCAAAATGAGAAATAAGAATAAATGTTTGGAAACGATGAGTGCAAGACATGATTATTTTTTTAAAATTGTAAAATACAAGGTGTAATGAAGTCAATAAAATCATCCATATCCTCATTGCCAGCCATTCATTGTTATATAACTATTTTACATAATTACCTTCACATACACACACAATAAAAAACAAAATGCAGGATAAAAAAGCTATTCCTAGTCCAGTAATTGTTTATATTAATATGTATTGATTTATCAAAATGCATCTACAATTACTTGAAAGAGTATTATATATATCTGTGAGTATTTTATTAAATTCACAGCTAAGTCTCAGTGATTTTATAAATTTATATGTGTTTAACGTAACTTCTCCCTGAATTAGTATTTAAACTTGTATGTGTGTAAATGTCTGTGTGTAAAGAAGGTGTGTGTGCATAAAGGGTATGGGAATGACCTTATAACAGTGTGTGAGCGTGTATGGATGGTGTGGACCTGTGTGAATGTGTGCTTGTGTGTGTGCATGTGTATGCGTTAATATGTGAAGATTGTGTGGGTATTTGTGTAAGGATATAAGGAGCTTTTGGGTATGCTAGTGACTTTATGAATGTGTACGTATGTGTGAGACTGTGCAGTGACTATGTTCTAAAATTAATCTTAAATTAATTAATATGTATTTAAATTAATCCTCATAAAAACCATAAGAACCTGTCCTTAATTGTATCTATTTCTTACAAATATGGGCACAGATGCTCAGAGAGGTTGGCTAAGATGGCATGGCTGGGAGGCAGAGCCCAGCATCAACTCTGAGCCTTCTGATTCTGGGAAAGTCCCTCTGAACTGTCTACCTGCCAGGCCGTACCCCCGCCTTGGTGCACATTAACATGCATTGTGGTTAATGTGTAGTTGATGTATAATAAATGCAGAATTTAATGGTTTAATAAATTGCAATGAAAAACAAACAGAAACATTAAAATATATTTAATAATTTGATAGGAATTAAAACAATGTTGCTTTTTTTACTGTGACTAAGTTGGATCGAATCTATGCATAATGCTGTACATTTATATATGTGCTCATGCTCATATTATGCATTCTGTCACACACATACACACATGTGCTCATCACACACATATCCCAAAGCTCCCTTCCATGCACAACCCTTATGTCCACATGCTCCTTATACATACATTCACATACCTTCTCACACATTAACCCATACACACACACACTCATATATAAGTACACTATCTCTTGCACACACAATCTTTACACACTCACTTATAAACTCATAAGATCATTCCCACACTTACTACACGCACACATTTTCCTTATACATACTCACACATAAACACACCCACACTTGTCCACAACCCTCCCCTTGTCTGCTGTGGAATTGCAGGGGAGGTGGCCCTACGCCCAGGGAACCTGGGTGGGGATAACCGAGGGGAGAGGGCAGAACTGCAGAGGGAGCTGCATCCATGTCCCCATGACCATGTCCCCATGTCTTGGCAGAAACCCCAGTGGGCTGGGGCAGTGGGTGACAGTCGTTAGGGAATAAAACTAACTAAATCACTCGGACCTAAAGCACTTATTAAACAAAAGAATTAGGTGTATTTTGACATCATCTTTTTAAGAATACCTGCTGACTGAGGAAGGCCACCATTGACTTCAGGTGGTTACCATTATCGTCGGACCCATCGGCATCTACCTATTCAATTTTCCTACATGTGATCCTATTGTATAGATTTTTACTTCAATATCCTTTCTAGCCATGTTTTACATTGTATCAAAGTGTTTTGAAATTTTTTTGGAATGGACAGGGAATCAGGTTAAACCAAAACTGTACACATCACTTCAGTTTGGGGAATGTTGTTGTCTGTACATAGTTTGTTCAAGTTCACCAGCAAGGCAGGTAATGATGGAAAAGGCTAAGGAAAATGATAAAGAAAATGGGTTCATGGGTTGTTTTACTGGAATGATTGGTGAAGAGAAAAGTGTGCAACACAATTGTTTAGAATTTTTACTGAGAAACAGTACTTCACTAAATAATGTGATTTGCTATAGATTACAACTAATAGTCAAACAGAACTACTATATGATGAATTGAAATAAAATCCACAATCCAGTGTTTTCACTTTGTAGTTAAAAAATGTGAAAAGTCGCGTCTGACTAACAATCACGGAATATGGATCTGAATCTTTTTGTAGCAGATCAGTTAGAAATAACACATGCATGACAATAATTAAAGATTCATTCTTTAGAAATTTAGGTTGGCACCTTATGTCTGCCCCCCTTTAAAATATGGTTTGAGGTCTGTTAAGGAATAGATTGCTTTGTCCTCTTCTGATGACCAGATAGGATTGTTATTGTTTTAATTTTCAAAAACGTTCCTCTTCTGGGTTGTTACTGATTTGAAATGCTTTAGGTATTAAATACATAGCAAAACATTCTTTGAATGGATTCCCGTGAATCTATAAAAATGCTAAAATATATGTAAACTTAATTGGCAGGGAAAAATACTCATATATTTTTGAATTTTTAGAACACAGGTTGTAAAATAACATGAATGTTATGATTATACACACATATACATACACATAAATAACGCATATATACGCACAAACACATAAACATGTATGTTTACAGTGGAAATTTTTATACGTTGAAATTGTAAATGATATTTCTTTTCTAGTGTTTCCTGAATTGTTTGATTTCTATACATTGGACATCTACTTTTTATCAAGAATAATCAATAATGTTATTTTCAGTTAAAGTTGGAAAAATCCTATAAGCAAAACTTGAAGTTTGCATCCTCAGTTTTAATAAAAGAGATGGCAGAAAGGCCATCCTAAATACATTCTTGGCAGGTTTTGTGGTTAATTTATTTTTTAAATCTGGCATAAATTAGAACATTTAAAGCCTTGCATACACTATATCATTCAGTAATTTTTTTCACTGTATCATAAGCCAAAATATATACCTACTACTTTCATTTAAAAAGCATTTGGGGGAGCTCCAGTTGCGCAGTCGGTTAGCGCGCGGGACTTATTATAAAAAGCATTTGGGGTCCAAACAACTTTATTAGTGTTTCTGTCCTAACAATGTATTAACTCTTTGAAAAAGTCACTTATATACATATATATTTTAATATTTTTCTTTTTAATTAAAAATGTTTAATTGAAAACAATGGATTACTTGGTAATGGCACGTGTTTACTGTTGGGTACTGTACAGCTTTTCAAAGCCTGGGATCAGAACAGACACTGCCGCTCTCATGCCTTGTTCACTGTTGATTTCACGTGATTCTTATTTTTTATCAACTACTAAAGGTTCAGCTTCTCAAAGAGAGGGTGTCATTAAAGGAATGTGATTAGTATCTAATATTGAAAGTGAACTGCCTCGAGCAGTAAGTCACGGGGTATTTGATAGATGCTGAGTGCGCCTGTCTTTCTCTTTTTTAAAAAAATCTTTATTGTTGAAAGTATTACCTGTCCCCTTTTTCCCCCATTGACCTCTCCCATCCCGCCCCCAGTCCCCACCCCAGGCCTTCACCACCCTTTTGTCTGTGTGCATGGGTTATGCATATATGCATACAAGGTCTTTGGTTGATCTCTTCCCACCCACGGGCCATGGAACTAGGCAGGGATGTTTTGGCATTACCTTCCCTCTGTGGTTTCACAGTCTGTTCAGTGCTTCTATGTATGCCTGTCTTTCTCTTAAACATTTAAATATCCTGGGAGCCCCTGACACAGTACTTGGAATCTGTTGATACCCATGGTTGGCAAACTGCGGCTCTTTGGCCCCTTGAGTGTGGCTCTTCCTAAGCCTTAGAAGTACCCTAATTAAGTTAATGGCAATGTACATACCTATATAGTTTAAGTTTAAAAAATTTGGCTCTCAAAAGAAATTTCAATCGTTGTACTGTTGATATTTGGCTCTGTTGACTAATGAGTTTGCCGACCACTGGTCTATACCACATACCTTCCATATTCCCGAATGTAGACACAAGTGAATAAAGATGTCCTTCCCTCCTACTTCCTTCTCTCTTTTCTTTATTTTCTCTTCCTTTACATAATCAGTGTAGTAAATCAGTATGATTAAACATTATTTTATGTAAGCTGTTGATATTTCTGACAACATACTGAATTGGTTATAATGTTACTTAGGCAAAGAGAAAGGGTTCAATAGAATAAGACATGTTGAAAAATAAGCAGCCACAACTGCCCGAGAATTGGTTGAAATTTGATGAATTCATTGACCTAAGGTTGAGTTCTGGGATTAACGTGCTTTTATGACAGACGGAGTAACCATTAGTCATGTTAAATTTACTCTTCATGTTATGGTTGACATTCTCCTTTCACAGGACCATGGACATGTGATCAGTTTTCTTTATCTCAGAGTGAAAAATAGTGACTGTGTCTGCACTTTTTTTAGGTGTTTGCCCAACTACTGTGAACACGGTGGGGAGTGCTCCCAATCCTGGAACACCTTTCATTGCAACTGTGCCAACACGGGTTACACAGGAGCCACCTGCCACAACTGTAAGCCGGACACACCTCTTCTTGCCTCTGTTCTGACTTCCTCATTCTATCTCCCTTTTCATTGCTGTGTGAATATATGCCCATGTATGTTCAACCGTGTATTGGAGGGCACACACCCAGGTCTTAGCATCCAGTTGATTTCTAGTTGTCCCAAATCATTTAATTCTGAGTGCCACCTTAATAAGTAGGTACCATTATTATCCCTAATTTACTCCTGAGGTGACAGGGAGAGATTAATCACCTTTCCTGAGGCATCTTAAAGAGTTTGAGCCACAGCATGGATGTGAACGCCTGCCTGGGATCACAACCAATACTCTTTTCCTGTATCATAAGCAATGCATTTGTTCTGATGAAATGTTTGTGTGTGTTGTAAGACTCATGCCATTCTGTCATACAGTTTTTTGATTCATATGATGAGGAGATCCAAGGGCATTATTCACAGTCACCAGCCTAACCTGTCTTGGTCTCTTCACTGGGCACTATTTTGGACTCTGGCCAGAGTTGAGATTGGAAGCCTGGGCTTCCAGCCCTGGGGGCTGCTCAGAGGTCATGCTCAGGGCTGCAGCCGGGTCATTCCTGGGCATCACCTTACCGAGGCTTCCTAAGATCTAAGATCATGAAGAATGCTTGCTGTCCCTGAAGTCACATCTCACTGTAACCAGAGGCCAAAATTCTCGACCCAGCTCACCCAGCTATTGAAGGGACAGTCTGTGTTAATTTCCATATCCTCCATCATCCCATGGTAGTAACTAACTCAACACAGAAAGTCAAGTGAATGTATTTTGATGGACTCATTATTTGTCTTTAATTATTATCAGTGACTGAGTTTATTATTTTTATTTTTATTGATTTCAAAGAGGGAGAGAGAGAAACATCAACGATGAGAGAATCATTGATCAGCTGCCTTTTACACACCTCCTATTGGGGATCAAGCTTACAACCCAGGCATGTGCCCTGACCGGGAATAGAACCTTCTGCTTCATAGGTTGACACTCAACCACTGAGCCACTCCAGCCAGGCATCAGTGACTGAATTTAAATATAAACCCAAACAGCTCTGAGGATAAAAGCCAAATGATAAATAAATAAGATATTTCCATCTGTGGCCCACAATTTGACCCAATTATTGAGTTACTAGGTTCTTGAGCAAATAGTCTAAATGAAGGTTTGTTTTTTTAGTGTTTTTTGTTTTGTTTTGTTTTTTGCCAATAACCATTCTGAGAAATGGGGCCAGGATGACAAGTTGTTTACTGGTTATTGTGAAGCCATCACTGTCTTTAGCATGAGTAGAATGAGAGGAAGGAATAGAGTCTTTTAAAACTTCTTATTAGAAAATATGACTGGAAAGCAATCCATGCTTCTATTTTCGTCTGTGTAATACATAATAGGAAAAAATAAAACCATCAGACTGTGGAGGAATGAAGAAGTAATTTTGCATGATTATCTGAAATTTTGTAACACTGAGCAAATTAGTTACATTATTTCATATTGTCTAAAACTCATTAACATAATTTTCAAAAATTTAGAATAGATCAGGGAAGGACATTCGGGGGATGATTTATTTCTCATTTCACAGACTAAGAAGCTTGATGGAAATTATCAGTACATTTGGCCAAGTGTTCAGTGAGATTATACGATATATACAGGTGTTAATATCAAACCTTGTACAAGGAAACTATATAATTGTATAATGAAAAACATCCTATTATGGATCAAAATACATTGCATCCACTTGGGGACATATTTCATATAAATATTTCTTCTGCTTTGAATTTTAATTATCTTGATTTCTCATTACAGAATATTATAGAAAGTTTCTTTTGTAAATTATTTCTTAAATTATTGTTGAAGAGCTTTATAAATCATATTTGTTTTATAAAATAGGATTTTATCTATAGATCATTTTCTGCGAGAAAGGAGAATAGTTACAACATTATTTGAAACTTTTCTATTGCTGTGGCTATCAGCAGATGATTTAAGGAGATTACACTATTGTACTTCAGATATTAGGTTATTATGGATGTTGAAAGATCCATTTGGATGGATGTCTAAAATTATACTTATAAGTGTCTTAACATTTAAAACAACTACTTTCTCTTTTGTGCTCTACCTAATATAAAAATAAACTGAATTTTCATTTTGACTGAGTATTCTCATATTCCTTTAGTGATAAAAAAGTCATAAAATACAGCCTCATTCTCCTTTTTTTCTATCTAATCTGCTTTCATCCATACCAGTTCTTTTAAAAAAGAATGAATTTTGTTTTAAAGTATGTTTTACCTTTTCTTCGGGTCAGTAATATACTTATCATTCTATTCCATTTATGATGATCCATCTTTTTACAGCTATCTATGAGCAGTCATGTGAAGCCTATAAGCACAGAGGAAATACTTCGGGGTTTTACTATATAGACTCAGATGGAAGTGGTCCCTTAGAACCATTTCTTCTCTATTGCAATATGACTGGTGAGTTAATCAGCTTTCATTTAATGGTAATATTTGCATGAATGCTTTACACATAAAATTAAAATGAAGCAAGTAGAAAGTTGACCTAATTTGCAATTTGATTAAAATGTATGTTGTTCAGTAGAACTAACATAAATCTTTAAAAATAGTTTAATAATAGTGATTTACAATGTTGTCATTATTTTCTGTGTATGTGGTGTGTGTATAGAACATCTAATAATAAATGTATTTCGTTAAGTCCCGAAACAAAAAGGATAGACTTTATTCTCTAAGAAATTGAAGCATGTAAAAGCCTTGAAAAATATTTACTTTTTTAATGTAGGTAAACATGAAGTTTATTCTTGAATTCTTTACTTACACATCTTATAAAATAAAAGCGTAATATGCAAATTGACTGAACTGGAATGACTGGTTGCTATGATGTACACTGGCCACTAGGAGGCAGACACTCAACGTAGGAGCTGCTCCCTGGTGGTCAGTGCACGCCTACAGGAGGAGCACTGCTCAGCCAGAAGCTGGGCTCACAGCTGGAGAGTGCAGAGGCAGTGGCAGTAGCCTCTCCCGCCTCCACTGTAGGCAGGTGGTAAGGAGCAAGGGGTTCCAGACTGGGAGAGCCCCGGACTGTGAGAGGGATTCTGACCGGTGACTTAGGTCCGACCTCCAGGGGGATTGGGCCTAAGCCGGCAGGCAGACATCACTCAAGGGGTCCCAGACTGTGAGAGGGCGCAGGCCGGACTGAGGGGACCCCCACTCCCCCCAGTGCACAAATCTCATGCACTGGGCCTCTAGCACTTAAATAAGAATGAATAGTCATGGAAATATATTTGATTAAATCCAACATCTGTTCAGGATAAAAAAAAAAATAAATTACCAATAGAAGGAAATGGCTTTAATTTGTTAAAGACTCCCCACAAATATCCCAAAATATATAACACAGTTTATGGTGAAATACTGAAAGGTTTACTGTTACCAGTATTCACATAAGGATGTCTGCTGTTATCACTGTTTTTTATGGTATCGGAGGTCCTAGTCAGTGCAGTAAAGCAGGAAAAATAAATGAAAGAAGTGAGTGCTGTAAAGGAAGAGCTAAGATTCACATTATTTGTAGATGACCAGATTATGTATTAAGACTAGTCTAAATAATCTACAGGTAAACTACTAAAATTTAGGATGATTATTGGATACTAGTAATATAAAAATTAATTGATTTCTGCACACCAGCAATAAGCAATTAGAAAATGAAATTTTACATTTATTTTTAATAGCATAAAAATCTTGAATACATGGTAATAAATCTAATGAAAGATGTGCAAGGCTTCTACATAGATAAGTATGAAATGATCTTGAGATCAACTAAGATCCTAAATAAATGGAGAAATATATATAAAATTTTCATTGATTAGAAAACTCAATATGGTATAAATATCAATTTTTCCCAAGTAGTCATTGATTCTGTGCAAACCTACATTAAAATTCCAGCAGGCTGTTTGTTTGCTGGTTCTGTAAGTGTTTAGGTGAAAATGAGCAAGCAGTTTCTAAAATGTATCAACAGATTTGAAGGAAATAGAGGATTCAAATTAATTTTGAAGAATAAAGTTGAAGAACTCAACTGCCAGATATGAAGACATTATACTGACAGGCTAAATAAGGCAGTGTGTGATTGGCACAGGGATTAGCAGCCAAATGGAAGGGATCAAGATTCCTTTACAACCAGTGGTGCTGGGGAAATTGTGTCTAAAGTTTTAAAAAGAATCTTGATTCCTTCATCATCAAACACAAAGGAATGGATTCTAGATGAAGTGGGCTATCCAGTATAGTAGCCATTAGTAAACAAGTGCCTACTTAGATTCAGACTTAATTAAAATCAATAAAACTAAATGAATCAAAATAAATTTTACACATTTAAATCAATTCATTAAATTAAGATTACATTAAATGTCGGTTCCTCTGTCTCACTGCTCACATTTTAACTCTTCAATAGCCACCTACTTCAACATTTCAGAAAATTTCCTATGGATAATGCTGTGTCAGGAAGTTAGAGTTTTGTGGAGCAAGACAACAGAAAAAGGCGATGTGAAATGGAAGGGTTTGGAAAGGTGGATTTACTCCTCAAACCAGGCAGTGAATATTGGGGGTAAGACTTTCAGGCGGTGGAAAGAGCAACTGCTGAGTCCTGAGAGGGGTGATGTTACCAGACGTGTTCAGAAAACAGCGAGTCCCACGTGGCTGGACTATGGCGCGTAACCGAGTGGTTGAGGAGGAGAGTAGAAGAACCAGCTTGGGTGGGGCAGGAGGCGAAGAATCATGGGGTCCAGACAATTTTGTAAGGTCTCTGGTCTTACTCTGAATGAGATGAGAAATTGGAGGGTTTTAAGCAATGGTGGATGAAATCTGATTTCCTTTAATAGGATTATAATTGCTCCTATGTTGGGAAATGCCTCTTCAGGAGCAGGGGTGGAAAGAAGTATATATGCGCCATGGGTTACACACATACTGTAAGACATACACAGGTGTTGTCAAAACCCCTATTTCTTTCTATATAAGTCAATATCTGTCTATCTATCAAAAGAGTTAGGAACCCTGTTTGGAGATAGTTCAAGAAATGCAGGAATACAGGTGAGAGCAGGTGATGGAGGCTTGCGCTGGATAACAACGAGGCAGATGAGGGAGGAGGTTCCATTTTCTCTTTGTATGTGCCAAGTGTGGGAACACAAAAGAAGCAAAAAACAACACCACATCTGAGTTGCCGTAATTTGGAATGTGTCAGAAATAAGGGGAAACTCGGGAGCTCAGTGCCACACATTTATGTTTGAGATTCTGTCACACGTTCAGATGAGACACAGAGAAAGCCGTTGAGCATGGGGGCACAGCTCCTTTGTATTAATGTGTGGTTCTAAAAACTGCAGATGGAGGTAAACCTGAGGAACAGATTTGGGGGGACATTACTCTAGAATGTGTCTAGAGATTTTTTTCATATAATGCAAACAGGTGGCATCTATTTACTCAGACAAACACTGGAGACACTGTCTGTTGTGGCCCATTCTGGCTGCTCTAACAAAGTTCCAGACTGGGTAGCCTATCTATATGTACAAAAGGCTAATATGCAAAGTGTCCCCTCGGGAGTTCGAGCGGGAGAAAGGGAGTTTGATCACTTGCTATGATGTGCGCTGACCACCAGGGGGCGGCGTAGAATGAAGGAAGGCCCCGATTGGCCCTGATCACCCGCCAGGCCTAAGGACCCTACCTGTCAATGAATTTCATGCACCGGGCCTCTAGTAAACAACAGAAATTTATTTCTCACAGTTTTGAAGACTAGAGAGTTCAAGGTTATGGTGACAGAACAGTCGGGTGAGGGTCCTCCACTGGTAGCTCACTTCTTAATACCTTTAACCATTACAACCTAAAAAAAATTACAATCTCTTTTGTATGGACACTTCCCCAAACTATGTTAAAGACTAAAAATTCTTTCCTTAACTTGGGGTGGTGAACACAACACAGCATGTAGAGGATGTGTTGTGGAATTGTACACCTGAAACCTGTATCATTTTGTTAACCAGTGTCACCCCAATAAATTCAATTTTTTAAAAAAGAAAATTCTTTCCAAACAGAGTATTCTAACTATAATTTAAAAATAATTGGCCAGGCCAATAAGAATCCAAGTGTCTGACATTATAGAAATATAGGGGTCCTTTTTTGCTCCACTAAAGCCGCTGCTTTATCTAAAATGAGATAGTTTTATATTCAAGAAGTTCCTCATCAAACATTTCAAGCAGACAGTTGTTTCAGTGGGGGAAAAATGATGAGGGCTAGAGCAGAGGCTTTCACCCTTTTGTGAAAATGACAATTGTGTGGCTTGCAGTCACCCTTGCCCACTGCACAGCTACCGAGCCTCCTAGCTCTAGTTTCACTGAGTCAGGAAGTTTAGACCGAGGCCTGGGTCGCTGCTTCATTAACAAGCTCCCCGGGTGATTATGAGATACGGACCCTCCAGTGAGAGCTGGACAGTATAGTACACATAAAGACATTATTTTTCCTTCAGGGATTTCCATCACAAAGGCCTTCTTATTAGCCGTGAGAGATAATAACTAACTGATGATTCAGATGCAGCCTAGCTGACACCGTTTTGCTCCGGTGTGTTTTCCTGCCTCCTCGCCCGCTTCCTGGGCGCAGCGCTTTCTACCTGCTCTCGCGGTCCACATCGCATCCATCACCCTCAGTCATTAGTGTGAAGGAACACGCGCTCTGCAACTGTGTTGCTTAAACAGCATGTTTTCCCTCCACACTGTTACCACGCTAAAAAATAGCAGCCAGCCCAAGATAAATCAAGCTCTTAATTATTCAGTTGCTTTACATACAATTTATATTATTGGAACTCTCCTCAGGGAGAGACACCAGTAGACCCAAACTGCCTTTCCAATTTTTTTTAGTGTATTTATTAAAGTTAATAGATTTTCTGCCTATTTCAGCTACCTCTTCTGACTCATTTCTCTGTGTCTCCTTAGCTAAACGACTCTCTTTGCAGTGGGTAAAGGATACTTAAAAATAAATAAATAAAACCATGGCTCTTAGACATAAAAATAAAAGCTAAAAAACACATTTTAAAGATTTTGTATAACACATTACCAATGAGGAAACTGGTAAGATGTTACAGCCACTTAAAACGGGAACTCCAAAGAACAGACACGCATGTACATACCAGCAATAGTGAAAAGAATGTGCAAATGGAGACAAAACTGGCTTCTGCCGCCGTGGAGGGGGGCAGCCATCGGAACATCTCCACCAGGTAGAGTCTCCTTGTCTGTAGACAGGAACTATGTATGAGGAAACATGCTTTCTAAGAAAAATAATCTGAATGCCTGGGTTAGAGGATAATTAACTGTTACTATGGCATGGAAGTTAGAGATAGTGAATTTCTCTGGAGAGTTTTCAAGGCTTCTCTCCCCCAGCAGCATTTGCTTACATTCTGAGAGTGATACAAACACGTGGACTTGGGCCCCTCC